TTTAATAAATATATAATTTTACAATTAATTTACATAAAATTATAAAAGTTGACATTTATTTTATCACTATAGCTACATGTAAAATTTTAATTGATCAATTGATTATACTAAAATCAACACGTACATATTTTTTATACAAATTAATTACAAAAGTGTAATTATTATACCTTTAATATATAAAGATATAGTTTAGAAAAACTGATTTTAAAGTTAAAAATTTTCCTAACATGTGTTTTAATTAAGTGCACACATTGAATACATTTTTTGTATTTTTTTTTTTCTTTTTTCTTATTTTTTTTAAAAAAATAAAAATTTACTTTAATTTTATAACAACCCAACTAATATCATCCTATATTGAATTTAACTTTAATATTTCAAGTTGATCTTAAAGTAGAGTCCATGCCAGCAAGGAAAGGAGAAAATGGGCATCAAGCTGTCCAATAAAAATAGTGTTATAGAGATAATTTTTTTATATTATTTTTTAATATAAATTTCACATATCGTTAAATTAGTGATTATATTTAATATTATAGATCTCACATAAATTAAAATAATCAATCATTTAAATAATATGTCAAATTATACTAAAAAATAAAAAAAAAATTATCTCAAAATAAATTATCACATCACACCCAGTTAGTGCTATATAAGTAGAGTTTAATGCGGCAATGGCGATAGTCTTGGAAAAGTGACATCACCATTAACAGAAGAGCTGATTCGCTGGTTTTGGTAAGTACGGGTCGATTTGCACTATGTCTAAGTAGAGAGGCTGATATGACACAATAATCAAAGTAGAGGGGCTGAATTGCACCTTCTGCCAAAGTGGGGTGGTGGGGGCTTTTTGAAGGACTAGATGATTAATGCCACTTTCTTGGATGCCCAAAAAAAAAAAAAAACACCACTTTCTTGAGTAGTGTTTTAGGCCTTTCGGGCTGGGCCAAAGGTTCCATTTCGACAGTTCGACCCAATAATGGAATATCCAGTTGAAAAGCCCAAGTTTAATTGAGGTGGCATTTTTTATTAAGATTTTTTTTCTTAAATTTTGTATTCTTAAAATATAAGTTAAATGTGTATTTATTATATTTTTATAATTAATTTGTATAAAAAATATAAACATTAACTTTAATATAATTAATTGGCCAATTAAAACTACCCATATAGCAATGATATTAAAATAAAGCTTAATTTT